GGGCTGGAGCAATCAGGGGTGTTCCTAAACAAATGTTTTCTTTTTCTCTCTCCTCTCTCTGTTAAAAGATTCATTTGTTCAAAAAACAGAGTTTTAGGAAGAGAGAGGTGGGAGGAAAAGGAATAGGGAAAGGAATAGAGAAAGGACACACACACACACACACACACACACACACACACACAATCTTCCCTCTTCATCTGCTGGTTCATTCCTTGGATAGCCACAAAGGTCAGGGCTAGGCCAGGCTAAAGCCAAGAATCAAGAGCATCCTCTGGATCTCCCACAAGGGTGGCGGGCCCCAAACACTTGAACTGACTTCTGTCATTCTTTCCAGGTCATTAGCAGGAAGCTGGATTGAAAGTGGAGCAGCTGGGAAGTGGACTGGTGCCCACATGAGATCCTGGCATCACTGCTTTACCTCTTGTACAACACCACCAATCACACACCCAATGGTTCTCAACATGCAGGCTTCCATTGGCAGCACTGCCATCTCCTAGTGTTTAAAATGTGAATTATTTGTTCTGGCAAGGTGGCCTAGTGGCTAAAGTTCTCAACTTGAATGTGCCGGGATCCCATGTGGGGGCTGGTTCTTGTCCTGTTGGTCCTGCTTCCAATCCAGTTTCGTGCTTGTGGCCTGGGAAGGTAGTCAATGACAGCCCAATGCCTTGGAATCCTGCTCCTGCATGGGAGACCCTAAGGGCTATTGGCTCCAAGCTTTGGATCAGCTCAGCAGTGGCCATTGCGGTCACTAGCGGGGTGAACATTAGGATGGAAAATCTTCCTCTCTGTCTCCTATCTTCTCTGTATATCTGACTTTGCAATAAAAAAAAAATCTTTAAAAAATATATGAACTGTTGGACCCGGAACGATATCCTAGTGGTGAAAGTCCCTGTCTTGCATACATCAGGATCCCATATGTGTGCCAGTTCATATCCCGAAATCCTGCTTCCCACCCTGTTCATTGCTTGTGGTCTGAGAAGGAGTAGAGGACATCCCAAAGCACTGGGACCTTGCATGGCTTTGAGGACCTAGAAAAATCTCCTGGTACCTGATTTTGGACGGCTCAGTTCTGGCCATTGTGACCATTGAGGATTGAACCAGCGAATTAAACATTTCTCTGTTTCTCGTTCTCTCTGCAAATCTGACATTCCAATAATTGTAAAATAAATCTTTAAAAATAAATAAATAAAAATTGGGCCATGCATGATAGCGTAATGATTAAGGTCACCTTAACCAGTAACGTGCCAGGATCCCATGTGGGTGTCAGTTCCAATCCCAGCAGATCCACTTCCCATCTAGCTCCCTGCTTGTGGCCTGGGAAACCAGTCAAGGACGGCCCAAAGCCTTGGGACCCTGCACCCATGTTAGAGACCCAGAAAGACTTTCCTGGCTCCTGGCTTCAGAGTTGAGCAGCACCGGCCTTTGCGGCCACTTGGGGAGTAAATCATCAGATGGAAGATCTTCCTCTCTTTCTTTCCTTCTGTCCGTACATCTACATCTGCCTTTCCGATAAAATAAATAAATCTTTAAAAAATAAAAAAAGTGAAAATAAACAAATAAAAACAAACTGTCAGTAAAGCTAGAAGAGGCATGCCTTCTTCAAAAGAGAATGGAAACCTATTAGGTCACTGTATCAGCTTTGTATTGAATTACTTGGGGGGGTCAAATTACAGAAATTGACATGGCACAGACCTTGACTGTCACACCCCATACTATCATCAGCTAATGATTTATCATCAGGAAACAGAGTGAACCAAGTACAAATACCAGCACACGGCTGTCTTAAGTTACTCTTAATGCACACAGTTCTGTGGCCTTGGACTGTTGTCCAAATGCAGATAATTGCCCGCAGGTTCTGTCTATGCTTTCTGGCGCCTGGAGTCTTTGAGCTCAAGATTGAGGACACAGTCCTCCCTTCTCTTCTAATCAAGTCAAGCTGCTTGTATGCCACCTGGAGAAGTGGGTCTATGGGACAGCGGTGAAGTCACTTGCTAGATGCCTGTATCTGTGTATGACACACTACTTGGAGTCCCAGCCCTTCCATTTCCAATCCAGCTTCCTGTTTATGTGCACACCTGGAAGAGAGCTGGTGATGCTCAAATATTTTGGGTCCTGTCACCCATGTGGGAGTCCTGTGCTGAGGTCTTAGTTCCTGGGTCAAGCTTGGCTCAACAGCAGGCTATTGTGGGCACTTGGGGAGTGAACCAGAGCATGAAGATTTTCTCTCTGTATGTTTCTCTCTGTCTCTGTCTCTGTCTCTGTCTCTGTCTCTCTGTCTCTCTCTCTTTTGCTCTCACTCTTGCTTTCTCCCTGCCTTTCTACTGAAAAACTAGAATATAAGTAAGAATTTAGAAGGTAATTATCAGATTTTCACACTGACTCTGAGGCTCAACCAATCTGAGCTTTAGCAAGGGTTTCAGGTCATATGGTACTTAGTTTCCCTGAGGATGGGTAGAGATATTTTCCCACAGAAGAGACTCAAAGGAAATCTGTAAATCAGGGCCATAGACAGGAAGATGCCTGCAGACAGGGAGACCCAGGGTAATAGAGTGGTGGGGAGGCAAGCACCCTCCTAAAGGCATTCAAATGTCCATTTCTTACATCGCCATGTCGATCATAGGAGACCTGAATAAAAGTTAAATTCTGTCTCTAGGGAGCAGCAGTTTGGTTGAGTACAGGTTACAAAGCACTGCTTTAATTCAGCCTTAAAGCAATCAGAGTGGCTTGAAGTAGAACATTTCCAAAAGCCTTTGACTTCCAACAGCTGTTGTGATTGCGAAGTCACGCAATTTATCATTTAAAGAGGACACTTGAGAAAGGAAGAGGGATAGTGTTAATCATTACACCAGGGCAAAGGGAAAACCAGGTGGAATGTATGGCCTGTGTATGATCATAAAATCATTCACCATCCCTGTTGACCTGAGATAAGCATCAGATACAAATGATCAGTGTGCTTCTTGTTTTACATTTAGGACAAAATCTACAGGAAAAGCAAGTCAGGAATCAGAGTCAATAAGAAAAGGGAAGAAACACAGAAGAATCATTACACACACACACACACACACACACACACACACACGCAATTTTAGCCTTACAGGGAAAGTTCCACAGAGTATATAGCTGTAGCTGGTGTGCATCAGGAAGAGCTCCACCAGGTTCAGGAATATTGTGGAAATCAGAATGATCTTGAGAAAGGAAGTTCCTGGGGTCAGTGCAGTGGAGTAACAAGCTTCTGCCTAGAGCACTAGCATCCCATGTGGGTGCCAAGTTGTGTGCTGGGTGCTACACCAGCACCCTGCTGATGTGCCTGGGAGGGTGGTGGAGGATGGTCCAGGTGCTTGTGCCTGTGCACCTATGTGGGAAAACTAGAGGAAGCTCCTGACTCCTGGCTTTGGACTGGCTCAGTGTTGGCCATTGTGGTCATCCTGTGGGCCATCCAGCAGAAGGAAGATCTTCGTCTCCCTTAGTTTATCCATTACTCTCTTTGTAACTATCTCAGATATAAATAAAATAAATCTTGAAACAAAACAAAATAAATTAAAACAAAAACAGAAAGGAAGTTCTTGTGTCTTCCATTTGACTGAGAATCCCTCAAGAGAGGAATGGTTTGTGATGGTGATTGTATCTTCCATGTTTTCAAAAGATTGAGGATTCAAAGAGGAGCCTCATTACCTGCAGCAGCCGTAATTTCCCTCCTCCTCCCTGGTATGTTTTTCTTTCTTTCTTTCTTTCTTTCTTTCTTTCTTTCTTTCTTTCTTTCTTTCTTTCTTTCTTTCTTTCTTTCTTTCTTTCTTTCTTTCTTTCTTTCTTTCTTTCTTTCTTTCTCTCTCTCTCTTTCTTTCTTTCTTTCTTTCTCTCTCTCTCTTTCTTTCTTTCTTTCTTTCTTTCTCTCTCTCTTCCTTTCTTTCTTTCTCTCTCTCTCTCTTTCTTTCTTTCTTTTTGTTTCTCTCTTCCTTCCTTCTTTCCTTTCTTTCTTTTTCTTTCTTTCTTTCTCCCTCTCTCTTCCTTCCTTTCTTTCTTTCTTTCTCTCTTTCTTTCTTTCTTTCTTTCTTTCTTTCTTTCTTTCTTTCTTTCTTTCTTTCTTTCTTTTTTCTTTCTTTCTCTCTTCCTTCCTTCTTTCTTTCTTTCTTTTTTCTTCCTTTCTCTCGTCCTTCCTTCTTTCTTTCTTTTTCTTTCTTTTTTTCTGTGTCTCTTTCTTTCTCTCTCTGTCTCTTCCTTCCTTCATTTCTTTCTTTCTTTCTTTCTTTCTTTCTTTCTTTCTTTCTTTCTTTCTTTCTTTCTTTCTTTCTTTCTTTCTTTTTCTCTTTCTTTCTTTCTTTCTTTCTCTTTCTTTCTTCCTTCCTTCTTTTCTTTCTTTCTCTCTCTCTCTGTTTCTTTCTCTCTCTCTCTTCCTTTCTTTCTTTCTTTCTTTCTTTCTTTCTTTCTTTCTTTCTTTCTTTCTTTCTTTCTTTCTTTCTTTCTTTCTTTCTTTCTTTCTTTCTTTCTTTCTTTCTTTCTTTCTTTCTTTCTTTCTCCCTCTCTCTCCCTCCCTCTCTCTTTCTCTCTCTGGGTTTGGCTCCACCTGTAGGAGGTGTCCAAGCCTTGCCACCCATTTGCTTCACCCTCTTCCTAATGCTGTTTAAAAGTCCTCTGTGACTGGAATTTATTGCCCTGGCCCTTCCGATCCAGTTATCTGCCTTATACTCAACCAGTCCAAGGTTCAATACCACTTAACCTATTCATAATCAGGAAATATGCTTTCTCAGTAGTCATTTTTTCCTAAGCCGTGACTCGAGAGGATTGTCCTTCTGATTCCCCTCTACAGAATGCTCACTGGTTTGAAAATCTTACTCCTATGGATCACCTTTTTCTCCCTCTTCTTTTCCTCCCATGCTGCTCTCATGGTTGATTGACAAACTCTTTGACTTCTGCCTGCTTTCTTTCCTTCATCCTTCCGGTATTGGTGCTCACCGCCAACTTACAGGATTTCTACAGACAAGGACCAGCCTGGATGTTCTGCGATGGCCAACCAATGGGTTTCCACAGACCTGCAGCAGGAAATGACCTGCCCCATCTGTCGGAACATTCTGCAAGACCCTGTCACCATTGAGTGTGGGCACAACTTCTGCCAAGGTTGCATCACTCAGCTTAAGGAAGGTTCTAAATGTCCACTCTGCAAAAGTTCTATGAAGAAGTTCTCATATAAACCCAACCGCCTGTTGGCAAAGCTGGTACAGAAAATTGGATTCAAGAGGCAGTTGAAAGAAGAAGGGCTGAGATGTCCAAAGCATGGCGAGGCGCTACACTACTTTTGTGAAGCAGATGGGGAACTTCTCTGTTTGGTGTGTCATGACTCTAAGGAACACAAATCCCATAAAGCAAGTCTGATAGAAGAAGCTGTTGAGCATCACCAGGTAGGCATGTGGACTCCCCTTTGCTGATCAGACATTGGTGGAGATATGCAAACTGTTGTCTCCTTCCTGTGGGTTTGTTCCCTGTGGCTCCTGCAGGTTCTACCTAACCAGGTCCACTGAGCTCCTGGTTCTAGTCTAGGAAACTACTGTCCTTGCCAACAAGGGAATAGTGGAGGATGGAAAGAACAGATTAAAAAATATTTATTTGCTTATTTTTTATTGGAAAGGCAGGTTTACAGAGAGAAGGAGAGACAGAGAGGGAAAGCCTCTTCCATCCACTGGTTCACTCCCCAAATGCTGCTCCAGTCCTAGCTGAGCCAGTCTGAAGCCAGGACCCAAGAACTTCCTGTGGGTCTCTAAATTGGGTGCAGTGTCCCAAAGGCTTTGGACTGTGCTCTGGTGTTTCTCAGGTGAGAAGTAGGGAGCTGGATAAACTAGCCAGGACACAAAATGAAAGCCATAGAAGATCTTAGTGCTTGAAAGGGAAGGATTAGCCAATTAGGCCATCATTTCAGACCTCCCACTAATTTAAAAAAGACGATTTATTTATTTTTATTTTAAAGGTAGATATGCAGGAGAAAAAGATGATCCATAAACTGTTCATCCCAAAAATGGTTGTAATTGCTAGAACTGAGCTGATCCTAAGCCAGGAGCCAGGAGACTCTTTTAGATCTCCCACATGGGTACAGAGTCCCAATGACTTGGGTCATCCTCCTCTGCTTTCCCAGACCATAAGCAGAGAACTGGACTGGAAGTTGAGCAACCAGGATGTGAACCTGCTCCCATGTGGAATGCTGTCACTTGAATGGGGAGGATTAGTCTCTGAAGCCATGCATTGGCTCCAAGACAGAAGAATTTCATCCAAAAGATATGGACTCCACATTGGGGTCTCTAAGACATCATCATGTCTCATGTACTTTGACATCAAAAAGCAGCTCTCTCCCTTACCCCCACTAACTGTCTCCAGCAGACAAGGGAGAAAATAGAGTTGAAATATAGTTTCCACTGCCCTCTTCCTATAATCTTGACCCTTCCCACCCTATTTAGAGATGCACATAAGCATGCATCCCTCTCAACTATATAAGCAACATTAAAAATAAGATAAAAATAAAATTAAAAAATTTGGGCTCAAGTCCAGATTTTAAGTTGACTGTGCAACCTTCAAGGGATCTTTTGGATTCTCTGAGCCTCAGATGCCTCAGCTTTCAAATCAAAATTACATCTTTTTAAAAGGTTTATTTATTTGAAAGGGAGAGAGAGAGAGAGAGAGAGAGAGAGAGAGAGAGAAAGAGAGAGAAAGATCTTCCATCTTCACCAACTGCGGAACCAGCTCGAGCTGAGACAGTCACAAGTAGAAGACTGTACCTTATTCCTGGTCTGCCATATAAGTGCAGTAACCCAAGAAGTTGGGCCATCCTTCACTGGTTTCCCAGGCCATTAGCAGAAGACTCCAAACATACCTCTTGAAACTGTTGGTACAACAGGTGAGAGGGAAGCTCTGGGGGAGTTCTTTGAAAGTCTTGAAGCATGATCCAAACATTACTCTAAAGAGGCATAGCAATGCTCTTCTTTTTTAGGTCACATAGGTTCTTATTTCTCCCTTTCCCCAAGCTGGAGAAAGGGATATGAATTAACACTTACTCCCAGGACACCCTGGAATTCAAATCCACTCTCTGGAGAGACCAGGGACCCTCGGGAGCCCAAGAGGAATTCAGGCAGAGCCTTGACTGAAGGACCTTCTCCCCACAGGAGCAGATCCAGTTGCATGTGGGGGTCTTGGAACAAAAGGAGCAGGAACTGGTACACATGAAGATTCAAGTTGACAAGAAGACCAATCACTTCATGGTAAGGAAAAATCCCACCCTGTGTTATTTTGATTTTGGTGTGTCAAATGAAAAAATTAAAAACTACATGAAAGCATATTAAAACTGAGCAACCTTCAGGAAAATGAGTTTTAGGCAAATTCTTGAAACAAAAGTGATGACATAAATGATAGCAGAATGTGGCAGCGAGCACAAAGGAAGTTCTTTTATTTAAAAAAATTAAAGACTTGAAAGGAAGAGTAACAGTGAGAGTGGCAGAGGACAGATAGAGTTTCCACTCATTGGTTCACTTTCCAATGGCCTCAATGGTGAGGAGGTGGTCAGACAGCAACCAGGAACTTTAAGCTTCATCCATGTCTCCTATGCAGTGGCAGGAGTCCAGTGTTTGGGCTGTTTTTTCTTGTCTTCCAGGGTGCATTTGCAGGAACTGGATTAGAAGCAGAGCAGCTGGTGCTTGAACCAGCACTCGAATATGACATGTTTTCCTTGCAAACAATGTCTTAAAGGGCTGGACCATGACACTTCCATGAGAAGTGATTTAAATATGCTTTTAAATTTAAATTCTCAGGGACTACATCATGGTGCAGTATGATAACCTGCCTCCTTTGACACCAGCAGCCCATATGCGTACTTGTTTGAGGTCCAGTTGCTTTATTTCTAATCCAGGTACCTACCTATGCACCTGGGATAGCAGCAGCAGAAGGTACAAGTGCTTGTGCCCTGGAACGCATGTGGGAGATTTGGATGCAGATCCTGGCTGCTGCTTTCAACGTGACCTGCCTCAGCTGTAATGTGCATTCACAGAGTGAACCAGCAAAGAAAAGATCTTTCTCTCTCCTTTCTCTTTTCTCCCTCTTTGTCTCTTTCTCTGCCATTCAAATAAATCTTTTAAGAAAAAAAAAAGTTTGTTCTTGGTCAGCAATGTGGTGATATAGGGTGCAGACAGGTTTGTGATGACAGAGAATCATTAGGGTGAAACACAGGGGGCAGATCCCAGGAAAAGATATGTCAGCAGTTGGCATGGCAGTACCTTGAGACACATGCACATAGGGGTAGCAGGAGGGATGGTGGAGCAGAGTTGCAGTGACAGGATAAGGCACCAGCAACCAGAGAACAGTGATCTGGGCTCAGGCCATCTGGGCTCCCAGTAGGGGCCAGAGATTCAGTAGTGGCCAGAGCATCTGCAGCAGCCAGGTGTGGGAATTGATCGAGAACTTCAGAAGTGAACACAGGCAAGGAACTACCCATCCTGCTGATGTGTTTGACCCAACAATGAGCAGAGAAGGAGCAGTCGACTCCAAGATGAAGTTAAGCAACAGGGTAGAACTCACATCACAGACTGTCGGTAGTGCTAGACTAGATAGGACACCATTTTGTGTAGTAGTGCAAAGAGTGCGGATTTGAAGGGATTGTCTGGAGCAGGCTCATTTCGAGCTAACTTCACTGAGCTTATCCCATAGGGAAAACAGTGCCAGCTTTGCATCATGCAGGGTCTGTGTGGTACCTGGATCTGAGAGCCAGCAACTCCAGATCTTCACCAGTGCCCTGTCAGGCATCATTTTGCTCAGAGGGGCAAAGACTGAGGGGGAGGGGGAGCCCGAGAGGAGCAGACGTAACTTCACATGTGCTAAATCAGTAGCAAACAGGTGCCATTTTCATTGGAACCAGACACTGGGGGACTGCTGAGACAACAGCTGAGCTGCACAAGCACTAAACTGGGAGCAAAATCACTTTCAGCTTAGTGCATTGTGTACGTCCCTCAGAGAAAATAGTTTCATTGTGGCGCTCTACAGGGTGCACCCAAAATAGCTTCAGACTTAATGGCCAGCTGGTGTTAGCAAGAACAGAGCTGCCAATAATCAAGTTATTTAGGACAGCTGATGTTTTCCTACTCTGGGACATTACTTGAGCTTCAAACCAACTTGTAGACCTGTGGGTAACACATCTTAGAAACCAGCCCTATGGAGAAGAGCCTGCCAACAAGAATAGCAATGATCAAATGTAAAAGAAGAGATAAAGGCACAATGAATCTTACTGAAGACTCTCCAGCAAAGGAACCAACCCTCTACCACTCTCAGAGTTAACTGGGGAAGACATTGAGAAAATGGGGGATTTTGAATTCAGAATACTTGTTATAAAGCTTCTATCAACAATGGGAAGTACATACAGGATTCAAAGAATTTAAGGAATATGTCACACAGGAAATAGCAGCAATGAATCAAATGAAAGCTAATATATTAGAAATTAAGAACACAATGAAGCAAATTAAAAATAGAGTGGAAATTCTTAATAATATGAAGCAAAAGAATTTCAGAGTTGGAAGATATTTCCTGTCACCAGGGGTAAACAAACAAAAAGCTGCAAGCAGAGCTGGTGGAGCTAAAAGTTATCCAAGAATTAAAAGGCATGATTAGAAGGCCCAATAGAAGAGTTATGGGAGTTCCAGAAGGTGCAGAAAGGGAAGCTAGGACTAAAGATGTATTCAATGAAACAATAAACAAAAACGTCCCTAATGTGGAGAAAGAATTAAAAAACAGCATCCATGAGGGACACAGAACTCCCAACAGAGTTGATCAAAAGTGGACTTCACTATGACACATGGTAATTAAGTTCCCTTCAGTTAAACATAAGGAAAATATCCTTAAATTTGCATCGGAAGAAAATCAAGTGACCTATAGAGGAATGCCAATCAAACACACACCTGACCTCTCAGAGTAAATGCTACAGTCTGGAAGAGAATGGAATGACATGTTCAAGATTCTAAAAGCAAAAATTTGTCACGCTAGAATAACGTACCCTGAAACGCTCTCCTTTGTCATTGTAAGTGAAATAAATTTCTTCCACAGTAAGGAAACCTCCCAGAATTTGCTTCTTCTAAACCTGCCCTACAAATGATGTTCAGAGATGTCCCCTTGAAAGAGAAAAGGAATAGCACCTACCCAAACCAAAGGCAAATGTGGAGAACATCCCAGTCAAAGGCCAACAGAAAACTAAATCAATGAACAACCCATTGCTAAAATGACAGGAACAAATGGCCACCAGTCCATATTAACATTGAATGTGAATGGCATAAACTCATCAATCAAGTGCCATAGATTAGAGGACTGTATCAAAAACCAAAACTCTTCTATTTGTTGCCTACAGGAGACACATCTCACCAACAAAGGTAAGTCGAAACTTATAGTGAAAGGATGTGAAAAGATGTTTCAAGCTAGTGATAAGGAAAAACGAATAGGTATAGCCATTCTTATATCAGATGATGTAGACTTCGATCTGAAAAAGATTAAAAGAGATGAAGAAGAACACCACACAGTGATCAAAGGATCCATTCAGCAATAAGATATCACCATAATCAATGTATATATGCCAAATGCCAAGGCATCTTGCTATGTGACAAAAATATTAATGAATTTAAAGGGAGAAATAGACTCCAATACTATCATAGTAGGGGACTTTAATAACCCCCTTTACATCAGACAGATAGAGATTTAGAAACTCAAAAATGAAACAAAAGAACTTAGTTGATATCTACTGAACATTTCATCCTACAGAGAATACACTTTTTTTCATCAGTACATGGAACATTCTCCAGAAATGACCATATTATAGGCCATAAAAAAAGCTTCAGCAGATTTTAAAATATTGAGAACATATCATGCATCTTCTCAGACCACCATGGAGTCAAAGCAGAGACTATGAAGTCAAAAGACCAAGGAAGACATGCAAATACATGGAGACTGAATAATAGGCACCTAAATGAGCAATGAGTTAGAGAAGAAATCAAAGGGGAAATTAAAAATTGCTTGAGATAAATGAAGGCATCAACACAATATATCAAAACTTATGGGATACAGTCAAGGCAGTATTAAGAGGAAAGTCCATCTCAATCAATGCTTACGTTTAAGAAACTAGAAAAGGCCAAGTAAATAAGCTAACCTTCCAGTTGAAAGAACTAGAAACATAATAGTAAAACAATCCAAAGACAAGTAAGAAAAAAAGTAAGGGAAGAAATAAACCAAATAGAGAGCAAAAGAACTGTAAATAAAATCAATGAATCAAAGAGCTGGTTCACTGGGTTTTTGAGAAAAATCATCAAAATAGATCCCCACTATCCCAACTTATCAAAAAAAGGAGGGAGAAGATGTGCATCAATAACATCAGAGATGAAAAAAGAAATATAATACAGATATCTCAGAAATAGAGATAATTATTAGGAACTATTACAAGTAACAGCATGTAAGCAAATCAGAAGACCTAGAAGAGATGGATAGATTTTTTGGACACATTCAATCCACCAAAATTGAATCAAGAAGCAAGCTTTAAAAAAAAAAAACAAAAACAAAAAACAGAAAGTGAGGCAATTCTTCCAAACTCTTTCTGTGATGACAATATCACCATAGTGCCAAAGCCAGACAGAGAAACAACAGAAAATGAGAATTACAGACTGATACCCTCGATGAACATAGATGCAAAGATCCTCAACAAAACACTAGCCAACAGGATGCAACAGCACATCAGGCAGATCATTCACACAAACCAGATGGGATTCATCCCAGGCATGTAGGGATGGTTCAACGTCCACAAATCAATAAATGTGATACATCACATCAACAAATTGAAAAATAAAAACCATATGATCATCTCAATAGATGCAGCAAAGGTATTTGAAAAACTGAACACCACTTCATGCTGAAAACTCTAAATAAGATAAGCATAGAAGGAACACTCTACAACACAAAGCAATGTATAAAAAACCAAACTCCATCATACTAAATGGGGAAAGATTGGAGGCTTTTCCACTAAGATCTGGATCTAGACAGGGATGTCACTGTCACCACTACTCTTCAGTATAGTATTGGAAGTCTTTGACTGAGCTATTAGGCAAGAAAAATAATTCAAGAAATCCCAATTAGAAATGAGGAATTGAAATTATCTCTATTTGCAGATGACATGATTCTTTACTTAGGAGAACCAAAAGACTCAGTCAAAAGACTAATGGAAATCATAACAGACTTTGGCAGGGTAGCAGGATACAAAATTAATAAACATAAATCAGTGGTGCTAGTGTACACAAATAATTCCATGGCTGAGAAGAAATATGTAAGCACAGTCCCGTTCAAGATGTTGGAGAGGAATCTTAAATACCTAGGAATTAAACTAACTAACTATGTAGAAGACCTCTATGATGAAAACTATAAAACATTAATAAAAAAGAAAAAGACATTGAAAAATGGAAAAACTTAACATGCTCCAGGATTGGCTAGATCAATATCATCAAAATATCCATATTACTAAAAGTAATATACAGATTCAAGGCAATCACAATCAAAATCCCCAACAACGTTCTTCTCAGATATAGAAAAGACACAAAAGTTCATCTGGAAACACAAGAGACCACAGATAGCGAAAGCTATCCTGAAGAACCATAATCAAGCTGGAGGAATCACAATTCCTGACCTCAAGACATACTACAGAGCAGTGGTTATCAAAACAGTCTGGTACTGGTGCAGAAACAGAGAAGAAGATCAATGGAACAGGATAGAAACACCAGAAGGCAGCCCACACATGTAGAGTCAACTAATCTTTGGCAAGAAAACTGAAAATAATCCAGACAAAAAGTCTGGTCTCTTCAACAAATGCTGTGGGGAAAAATGGATAGTAGCTTGCAGAAGTAAGAAGCAAGACCTGCACCTGTAACATCATATGAAAATCAGCTCTAAATGAATCAACAACCCAAATCTACACCCAGAAATCATCAACCTATTAAAGAGAAACATAGGAAGCACTCTAAGATATAGGAATGGGGAAAGACTTCTTGGAAAAGATGCCAAAAGCAGTCAAAGACAAAATAAACAAATAGAACTGCATCAAATTAAAATATTCTGTACAACAAATGAAGCAATTAACAACATCAAAAAGCAACAAACAGAATGGGAAAAAAAAATCTTTCCCCACTACACAACTGATAGGAGACTAATATTCAGCATTTACAAAGAGCTTCAGAAATCCAGGAAAAGTTAAAAAAAAAAAAAGAAGAACAAGAAAAAGAAAAAGAAAAAATATATAAAACAAAAAGCAAAACCCTGTGGAGAAATGGGCGAAGGAAATGATCAGACATTTTTCAAAAGAACAAATTCAAATGATGAATAGACACATGAAAGATGTTCAGGCTCCCTAGATGTCTGGGATATACAAATGAAAACCACACTGAGGTTCCACCTAACTCCAGTGAAGTTGGCCTACATTCAGAACTCTACTAACAACACCTGCTGGCACTGATGGTGGGAGAAAGGTACCCTCATTCACTGATGGTGGGAGTGTAGGCTAGTACAACCACTATGGAAATCAGTATTGAGAATGCTTAGAGAAATACAAATAAACTTGCCATATGACCCAGCTATCCTGCTCCTAAAAATATGCCCACAGGAAATGAAATCCGCATATGAGAAGGGGATCTCTAATCCTATATTCACAGCAGTAAAATCTACAATATCAAATACATGGAAACAACCCAGATGTCTGTCCAAAGAGGAGTGGTTAATAAAACTGTAGTATATCAACTCCTGGGAGTATTACTCAATCAGTTAAAAAAAAAAAAGAAAGAAAGAAATTTTACCATTTGCAATTAGATGGTCCCAACTAGAGACCATTATGCTCAGTGAGATGTCAATCCGGAAAGAACAAATATCATATATTCTTTCTGACATAAGGCAGCCTTTATGTAAACTGCAAGATCAGTAACCCTTTCCATACTGTTTTTGCTGCACCCTATGTATTTTGATGTTTTTAGTTTTATTTTCATTTCTTCCAAACAGTTTCTTTTCTCTTGTTGAATTCATTGCTATCTCATGGATCACACAGTGGTGTCATATTACCCGAGAGGCCTTTGCATTTTCTTTTTCATATCTTCACCATGCATTGCTTATTCAGTGGTGCATTTTTCAACGTCATGGTGCTGTAAATTTTTTGTTTTAACTTTGTGATTGTTGTAGACTTTGTTTTGTGGCTTCTCATTTAATGGAGTGTGTAGTGATGGCATAATGGTCTATCATGTCCAGATGTAAAGATACAGTGCAGCATGTATCTCTACTTTCAAATCAATGATGGACTCTCAATGAAACTTTCAGACATATCTAGATAATGTGATGCTGGATTTTCTGACATTATCTTTACCAGCACTGTAATGGAACACTGAAATAACAGACTGATGGAATTATGACTGCTTATGAAGGACTTATTGTAATAATATGAGGAAAACCAGTCTGTGGGTGAGAATTTGGGGAGGGGACAGGGAAATCCCAGACCCTATGGAATTGTACTATAAAATTCAAAACTAATAAAAAAGTTTGCTCTCACCTCTTCTCAAGTCTATACTGTGTTCTACATTGGTACTCAATATAATCAATAGAGAAATTAAAATGGAATAGCATCAGTGGGAGGACAGTTGAGAGCATCTCTTTTCTCTGTATCCCTGTGATTCTACCAAGGCCCAGGTGGATGTTGAGAAACAAAAGATCCACTCGGAATTCAAGCACCTGCATCAGGTGCTGGAGGAGAATAAGAACTTCCTCCTGTCCAACATCGAGCAGCAGGCTCAGCATGGAGTCAAAGAGTGTGAGTGCTACAACACTGCCATCCAGGCACAGCTCAATTCTCTCAAAGATCTCATGGGTTGCCTGAAGACCAAGCAACAGATGCCACCCAGACAGTTGCTGCAGGTGAGTCTCTCAGGGGTGGAATCACTGCAAAACAGAGCCCAAGGGTTGTGCCTGGCCAGCACACCTGTGCCTGGCAGAATCCTCAACACTACCTCTAGGGCCACACCATCCAGCAGAAAGAGTTGAAATGGTAATATGTCATTTGGAACAGTAGTATGAGCCACATGTGTGATTTAGAATAGGCAACCCACATAAATAATTTAGAAATATACTGTCAGTTACTGCCCAGCATAATTTAGAAATGTAACATGAACCACATGTATAATTTAGAAATATATTGCAAGTCACATAGGAAGAGCTTCAGCATGCTAAAGGGTAGGTGTTTGGTACAGTGGATATTATGCACTTGAAGAATCCACGTTCTATGTGGGTGTGCCTGGTAAAAGCCCTACCACTACTTCTCACCCAGCTTCCTGCTAATGTGGGCCCTGCAAAAAAGCAGGTGAGGTGGCTAGTCCTAGGATCCAGCAACCCGTGAGGGAGACCGGGACTGTGTTCCCCCATGACTGCTACCTGGCTCAGTACTGTCTGTGTGAGCATTCAGGGAGAAAACCAGCAGATGGAACATCTCTCAGTTGTCTCTGGATCTCTGCCTTTCAGATAGATGAAAACTATTTTCAAATGTTGTGTGACTGATTTTGTGACTCAGTGAGTTAAGATACTGCCTCTAGCATCCCACATGAGCTCTGGTTCATATCCCAGCTGCTTCAGATCTAGTCCAGTTCCCTGCTAATGTGCTTGGGAAAGCAGCAGAGGATGCGTCAAAGCCTTGGGTCTGCGAGATGCAGAAAAGGATTTTGGTTTTGGATTAGCTCAGCTCTGGCTGTTGTGACCACTTGGAGAATGAACCAGCAGATGGATGGTATTTCCTTATAGCTCTTCTCTTGGTAAATCTGCCTTTCCAGTAAAAATAAATAAATAACCCATTTTGAAAAATCCATGCGATGAATAAATTATAAGGAGACTTCAAAATATTTAGCAAAAAATAAATTCTTTTCTTAAGTACTTATTTTTTTCCTTGAAAGGCAGAGTTACACAGAAAGAGGGAAAGACACAGAGAGAGAAGGCAAGAGAGAGAGGGAAACGAGAGACCTGCTATTACTGATTCATTCTCCCAATGGTCACAATGGCCAGGACTGTGCCAGACAAAAGTCAGGAGCTTCTTCTGGGTTTTGTAAACCACTGTGCTGGTTGAAATGTTCATTCCTTTTTTTTTTTTCAAGAAATTTCATGCAAAGTTACTCCTATCTTTTTCCTGTCTCAGGGTATAGGGCTTCCCTATTAAGTTAAGTACCACACAAAACTCATTTGCAAAATGTTATTCTCTTTTTGATCATCAATGGTTCTTCTTGATGCCTAACCATGTCTCCACTTAGAGCCATACTAACACTTCTTGGAGAATGAGAACAGTAGAGAGTGAGAGACAGAGAGAGAGAGAAAGTAAGTCTCAGAGATATTCTCACTCCCCTGGCTCTGCCCACATCCACTTGTGTCCTTGGATGCTTCCTCGCCCTGTGAGTCAGCCAAGTGCTGAGACCATGCTATTTGTCTTTCTCTTTCAGGATATCAAAGGCACCTTGAAAAGGTATGATAACCAGTCCACATGCATGCTGCCCCCTGAATCAGTCAAGGATCAATACTCAACATAACTTCAGATACACTCAGTGTTCCCTGCTCACCAACACCCACACCCTGGGACTTTGCATTCAGAGGCTTAGGCTGCATGAGGGAATCTGAGCTGAGCAAATGAGTTGGCTGCCAGAGGCCTGAGCTGTTTTCCCCATCTCCCTGGGCCTCCTGCTGTGAGCAGGTCCCCAGTTCAGCTGGATGCCTCTGGGTTCCCTCTCCCTGCCCAACTGCTTTTCCCCTCTCTTCTTCACTTCCAAGTCTCCTTGGGCAGCTTCTCACATCAGCCTATCATCAGTGCTGGCTTCTTGACTCAAGGCTCCCTAGCCCTTGATGCCCACTGCCACTCCCCCTCCCACTGCTGTGATTCCATCCCCACAAGGCTGGGCCAAAAGACCAGACTCCCCATCCAGTTCTGCCTTGTTCTCCTAGGAGTGAAGAGTTTCAGGTTCAATTTCACAGCAAAACCCCAATTCCTCTGGACCTGGATCAACAATTTAATGAAGCAAAGTCCAGACATGACTCCATGATTAAGAACCTAAGGAAATGTGGAGGTAAGGAAGAGGTTGAAAGGGCCTCTGTTCCCCCACCTGGAAGTGTCTCTCCTGTCAGTGGCTATCACCGCATCCTTCCCCCATCAGGGCCTATGCAGCTGGCCATGCCTGCCTCAAGCATTTCTCCCATGCTCTGTTCCCCATGGTACTTGTCTATACTCACACTCTTCTCCAAATCTCCCATGCACTAAATGCAAAAGGAAGGTGAGGGTAATGTTCCCAGAAATAAAAACCCTTCCCCACTTATCTAGGAATCTCCATTTTCTTTTTTTTTGTTGTTTTTTTTTAATTATTACAGATGATTTCAATGATTGGTTGATTGTTTTGAAAAGCAGAGCATCAAGAGGATAGAAGAGGATAGAAGAGACAGCTGTACTTACTGTGTCACAATGCTGGTTCCAATACTGCAAAATGTAAAAGTCCATGATGCATGGGACTGGTGTGTCGGCAATGCCCGCATTGCCGCATACCCCGAGCTGAGCACAGGGACTAGGGTTACAAAACAGACAACGCACTGTGGGTCATTCTTGTGAAGAGAATGGCAATTTATTCAAAGTCAATCTGCATCTTTTATAGTCTGCTTGGCTCCTCCCAGTACTTTCCCAATGCTCAAGCAACACCTAAGCTCCCCTGATGGCATCTTAAAAAGGGGAAGCAGGGAAGAGGGAACTTGCTGTCAAGCCAGGGGCTAAATGTATCAGGCCAAGATTGCCCATCCTGTTACACCTTGAGAAACAAGCTAAACTGTGGAGTTAACCCTTGGGAGACCGGGGCCTACAGTGGTGCAATGACTCAAAGGCTAAATCCTCACTTTACAGGTGCTAGGATACTACATGGGCACTGGTTCCTGTACTGGCTGCTCCACTTCCCATTCAGCTTGCGGTTCATGTCTTGGGAAGGCAGCAAAGGATGAGCCAAAGCCTTTCAACCCTGAACCAATGTGGGAGAACCAGAGGAGGCTCCTGGCTCTTAGCTTTAATTTGGCTCAGCTCCTGCTGTTGCAGCTATTTGGGGAGTGAACCCGTAGGTGAAAGACCTTTCTGTCTGTCTCTCTTCTCTGTAAAATCTGATCTGCCTTTCCAACAACAACAACAAAACTCCTTAATAAAATTATATGAGGCATGTTTAAATGTTCATGGAAAATGTGTGAGAGAAGAACTACTTCAAAATGGTTTGAACCAAAATGAATTTTTTTAAAAGAAAAGATTTACTTTTATTGGAATGTCACATTGTTTTAAATTTAAAGATTTATTTGTTTTTATTGGAAAGTAAGACTTACAGAGAGAAGGAGGGACAAAGAGAAAGATCTTACATCTGTTGGTTCATTCCCCAAGTGTCCACAATGTTCAGAGTTGAGCTGATACGAAGCCGGGAGTCATGGGCTTCCCTGGGTCTCCCAAATGGGTGCAGGGTCCCAAGGCCTTGCGCATTGTCCTCTGGTTTCCCAGACCACAAGCAGGGTTGGGATGTAGAGCAGACAGAAGACGAACTGGCGCCCATATGGGATGTGATCTCATGCAAAGAGAGTATTTTAGCCACTAGGCTAATGTGTGGGGTACCCAAAATGAACTTCCTGAAAATTGTCTAAGGAACTAATGTGATGGCTCCATTAACTAGTCCTTTGCCTGCAAGCACTGGCATTCCATATGGGTGCCAGTTCGTGTCCTGGCTGTTTCACTTCCTATCCAGCTCAATACCTGTGGCCTGGGAAAGAAGTAGAGGAAGACACAAAACCTTGGAACCCTGCAGTGATGTGGGAGACCCAGAAGAGGTTCCTGGCTCTGGGCTTCTGATCAGCTCAGCTCTGGTTGTTTTAGTTATTTGGGATGTGTACTAGCAGTTGGAATATCTTTTTCTCCATGTCTCCTCCTCTCTCTGAATCTGCTCTTCTAACAAAAATAAATAAACCTAACAAAATTGTTTAAAAGGCAGAGAATTGGAGAAAAAACAGCAGCAATCTTCCATCCACTCATTCACTTCACTAAATGTCTACAACATTCAGGACTGGCCCAGGGAAAAACCAGAAGTCAAGCACTCAGTCTGTGTCTCCCATGTGGATGGTAGGACTTAAGCATTTGGGCAATCGCCTGCACCTCCCACGGTGTCCGTTAGTGGGAGCTGCAATTGGAAACAGAGCTAGGCATCAAGTGTCCTTAGAAGCATGTTTAACACTGCACTTGAATCTCATTCAAATTTATCTTATAATATCATTTCTCTGTGGTTTTGTAAAATGATTTGTTTTTGCTTTTTTGAAAGGTAGAATCACAAAGAATGAAGGAGAGGCAAGTAGAGTGATCGTCCATCTGCAGGTTCACTGCCCAAATGGCAACAAGCTAGAGCTGGGTTGGTGGGAGCCAGGAGACAGGAGCTTCTTTTGGGTTGGGTCTCCCGTGTGGGTTCAGGGCTCCAAAGCATTCAGCCATCTTTTGCTGCTTTCCCAGGCCATAGACAGGGAGCTGGATCAGAAGTGGAGCAGCTGGTATTTGAATCTGTGTCCATATGGGATACCCCAATGTGGCAGATTAGCCTGATACAACATGGTGTTGGTCCCCACGAATTTTTAAGTTCCACAAAATGGGTGGCTCCTGTTTCCAGGTCAAATCAGATGTCCACTGGACAGTGCTGGGCTGTGCGGATACTTTAAGATAACCAGGCGGCAAGGCTGGGAGACTCACATGTACTGAGAATGTGAAAGACAACTCAAGCTCACTGCTCCCAGGGGTTTCACATCAGGGCCTTGTGATGCGACCCTGGATTCTTTGCTCAGCTTCCACAGCCTCTCATGTCTTCTGTTCTCCACCCCCAGAGCTGCTCCAGGCTAACAGGAAGAAACACCAAAGCAAAACTCTCCAAGACAAGAGTGCAACCCAGAGGCAGAGTGGTAAGTGCGGGTGCAGAGCTGCTTCCTGCCCCTGGGGGAGAGTGAGACTCATAAAGGGGAAGAGGGGAGAATTCTCCCACAAAGGGAGAAGAACAGGCCTAGAGGAATATTTTATACTGTTAAACACAGGAAACACACAGTCATTCAAAAATATTCCAAAGTAATAAAAAATCATCAACTAGTTTCTTCCTTGCTCAGAGTCAGGGAAGACAAGAATGGGTTTAGATGTGCTGGTCCCAGGGTCTTCTCTGCTGTCTTAGCTGCATGATCCCAGGAGAGATCTCCCTTGGAAGGACAATGACTAGGTGCTCCACCTCCAGTGGTTATTCAGTATTTCCCACTCCCAGGTCCTAGTGGCACAGGCCAACAGTGACCCTCTCCTACAGAACCTGAGGCTAACTGAAAGGTTTTCACACTTCTGTGCGTGCGCCCTGGAAATCCCTGGCAGCAGTTATTCCTGATTGGTGGGATGGGACAGGGCTTTGTGTTAGCATACCTTGCAGCCTCTGAGTTTAGACATGGAAGTCAGCTTTCCTTTTCCTATTCCTAGTGTTCCTGCTTGAGAAAAATAATGCTAATGCAGATAGACGTTCACAGCCTGAGCCAGCCTCTCCAGGTAGGAGTCTGGTCTTGAACACAGGAGACTGCCTGTGGGGCTAGAAGAGGGATACAAAGCTGGTGTGTGTTCCAGGTGGACACAGAAAACAGGGGTGAGGGGTGGAGGGAAGAGGCTGGCGGACGAGAGGATGCTGTATCCTCCACAGGCCTTGAAGAAGTGTCAGGTCCCACAGGTGGTATGAAATGTGGGTGGTTTGGGCCTGCATTCCCCTCTCTGTTCCTGCCCATTTTCCACTGACTGTAGGATCTGGTAGCACCAGAGTGAGCTCCTTGAGCTTTTGTGAGTGGTGGAGGATTCCTGTTCTCTTGCTCCCACAGACCTGGCTCTTCTCCTTTGCTTCTGTTAAAGGTGACAAAACAGCCTACCCAGCATCCTCAACTCATCACACCCCAGCTCAAAGCCAACCTCGAGTTCCATCCAAATTCGAGATAAACAGCACCAACCCTGAATTCAACCTGCCTCGAAGAAGAGCCTCTCTTTCCATTGTTCCCAGGAATGCACAAGTCATCGACACCTGGGAAACCGGGAACTTACGACGTTACGTGAGCAATATTGAGCTCCAGCAGGTGTTGAGTGAGTGATTGTGCAGAAGCTCATAGTGTGAGACAGCGGTGACCCCAGATAGGAGTCTGGTTTTGAAAACAGGAGACTGCCTGTGCCGCTGGAGGGTGATTAAAAGCCAGTGCGTAGGCAGAGGTGGACACAGCCAGCAGAGGAAGCTGCGGATCTGTGATTTTGCCTTCCCTCACCATAGCTGTTGGGACCAAAGACTGTTCTCAGTGCCAACTTGAGGTGGAGAGCAAAGGGAAAGAGCAGAAAACAGGGAAGAGAGGCAGAAAGAGGAGGCCCATGGAGGAGGGGATGCTGTGGGTTCCACAGCCCTTGAAAAGGTGTCAGGTGTCACGGGTGGTGTGTGCAGATGTGAGGTGCTGTGTGTGTTGGGGGAGGACAAACTCTCCTCTGTTTCTGTCCATTTGCACTAACTGTGGGAGCTGGTAGCCTGGGAATCAGTTCCTTGAAGTTGTGCAGGAAGTGGGGGGATTCCTGCCTTCTTGCTCCCACTGACCTGGCTATTTTTTCCGGTTCTGTCAAAGATGACCCAACATCCAACCTGCGGTCCTCAACTCCCCACACCCCAGGTCAATTCCAACCCAAGAAGAACAGCGATAGGCCAGAACTGAACAAGCCGGGAAGCAGAGCCTCTCCTGCCTGTGTTCCAGGGAACAGCCGAGTCCCTAACACCTGGGACACTAGGAGCCCCCGCCGTCCCGACAGCACTGCTGAGCTCCAATGGGAGTTGAGTGAGTGTCAGGTGCAAAACGTCTGGGCTCCTGGGATAGGGTGTTAGGGTGGTGGTGGAGGTTTCCATGACTCCCAGGAGGGAAGGACTCATTCTTAGGAGACGCCACAATCACACTGGCCTTCTGGTCTTCACATGAGCCGTGATGCCCTTTATTGGACACACGAGGTCCCTGCGGTTGTGCCCACTCCCCCTCCCTCCTCCAGAGTGGAAGCCCACACAGGAGTTAAGGCCTGCCTGGTCACAGATCACAGAACCCGTCCCCATGGACCTGACGCGCATGATAAAATCTTCTCCATGGGGACTTGACCCGGGGCTGACCCTCTTTTGCCTCCTATTCCTACAGCTCCTGTGATGTTTGACATTGACTCGGCCCACCCTGATCTCAGCTTTTCCCAGGATCTGAAAATGGTGAATGTGATCCCTCAGACCCACTCAATATTTCCAGTAGAGCAGCAGCGCTTCTACCCGTTCCGTTGCGTTCTGGGCTCACCAGGCTTCTCCACTGGTCGACATACCTGGGAGGTGGAGCTCAGTGGGTCCGAGGGTTATGGGGCCGGTCTCGTGGGCGTGGCATGGGAAAAAGTGCCAAGGCAGGGCAGCTTGACCATGGAGCCCGCGAGTGGCTTCTGGGTGCTGCGCATCACCAGATTCCAATGCCAGGCACTCACTGGGAGAGATTCATGGAAGTACCTCCCAATCTGCTCCAGAAGAGTGGGTGTCAGCGTGAATCTCGAGGGCAAGGAGGTCACCTTCTATGACGCGGCCACCAAAGACCACATCTACACTTTCCAGGCCTCCTTCCCGGGGAAGATCTTCCCTTTCTTCAGGCTGTTGTTCCCTGACACCCAGATCACTCTGAACCCCTAGCTGTGCTCTTTATTCATCCTCTGCGACTCCTTGGGGCCACCACCTCACTGGGCGATAGGGTTGACACCAGGTTTCCACAATACTGAGGTATGATGTGAGTGACTCCACTCTATTTTTGTCTGTTTGTTTTTAAGATTTAGCTATTTTTGGACCAGGTCCGGTAGCCTAGTGGCTAAGTCCTTGCGATGCAACCCCTGAGATCCCATATGGGCACGTATTCTTATCCATCTGCCTGCTTGGTGGCCTGGGAAAGCAGCAGAGAATGGCCCAAACACTTGGTACCCTGAACACACATAGGAGACCGGGAAGAAGCTGCTGGCTTCTGGCTTCAGATTGGCTCAGCTCCTACCCATTGCAGCCAAATGGGGAGTGAACCACCAGATGCAAGATCTTGGTCTTTTCTTCTCTCTGAAAATTTGCTTTTCCAATAGAAATGAATGAATCATTTCAAAGGGTATTATTTATTGGAAAGGTAGATTTTACAAAGAGAGGAAGGCACAGCCAGAGAAAGTTCTCCCATCCACTGGTTTATTCCCAGGTGGCAATTGAGCTGAGCTGAAAAGCCAGGAGCCATAAGCTTGTTCCAGGTCTCCCATATGTGTACAGAATTCAAAGGCCTTTGTTCACCATTCACTGCTCTCATAGGCCATAAGCAAGTCAGTGGATTGAAGTGAATCTGGCAGTTGCATGCTGAGGATTATCCAACTGAATCATTACTTCAGCCCCAGTGATGTGCTCCCAGTTGCAGCTCTGAATCCTGGTCCCCATCCGATATACTTTCCTCAGCTCTAGGCTCGTTATGTCTCAGCTATCAGTACCTTCCTCTGTCTTCCCCAAAGTTATCTCAAGCCCACTCTGAATTAAAAATGGACACGTTAAGTGGAGGCCTATGGAACAATGGATGGCAAGAATAAGAATTCAGCCATCATGGCCAGGTATCTTAGTTAGGGGTTAAAGTCCTCGCTTTGCACAGGCCGGGATCCCATATGGATGCTGGTTCTAATCCCAGTGGCTCCGCTTCCTATCCAGCTCCCTGCTTGTGGCCTGGGAAAGCAGTAGATGACAGCCCAAAGCCTTGTGCCCCTGCACCCGCATGGGAAACTCGGAAGAGCTCCTGGCTCCTGGCTTCGGATTGGCTCAGTTCTGGTCATTGTGGCTGATTGGGGAGTGACCCATTGGATGGAATATCTTCCTCTCTGTCTCTCCTCCTCTCTGTATATCTGCCTTTCCAATAAAATAAATAAATTTTTAAAAAGCCAAAAAAAGAATTCAGCCATCAGCGCTGGAGCTAAATTCCTCCCACCAGGTTCTACTTTGACATCTTTTACAGGCCCTTGCACAAGCCCTCAATAACAAGCAGCCTACCTGTAGACCTCTATAGCCAAGCCTTTGCTTTCACATTTCCAGAGCATGCGGACCTCCTGTAGTCCACCAAACCCAGGAGTCACTGGGGCCCAACCAGTGACACCCATGCACCAGCCCCAGGAGATGACCATGCCCTGTTTAGTTCTGTGGAATATCACAATGTGAGCAGTAGCTGCCTGCCTCTTTGTTCTGCATCTGGCAAAATTCACACAGTCTTGCAGCACTATGATGTGCGCAGCTGGCTTGCTGAATGTCTACTTGGTGAACCCAATTTCTGGGATTCTAGAATAATTCCTCCAACCAGGGTGGGGAAACATTTTATCATATCTGTCCCTGTGTGCCTGAAGATAAAGCATACCCAGCTGTCTGGGGCAGCACTGTCTGTGACAGGACAAGACAGGAAGCAACTCAAATGACCATCAGTATGTGATGGTTGAAAACTGTGACGAGGAAGCCTCTGGCTGCATTGTGGTTGAGGTGCAGCTGCAGGAGACTGGACAACTGACCCCACACTGCCCTTTCCTCTCTACTATCCAGCTCTTGAAGGCCACATGACCCTAAACTTGGCTCTGTACATCATTCTTTCCTGACATCTGAAAACTCTAATCCTGGACTTGTGTCTCAGCACTCTATAGTCATACCTGTTGTGCATTTTGCACATGAGGTTATCTCCTTGTTGTTATAGGATGATTTCTTTCTAAGAAATTTAGTAATTTATTATTTTTTCTATGAAAGATAGATTTACAGAGAGAAGAAGAGATGTAAAATGGTCTTCCATCCCCTGGTTGTACCAGTAAAAAAACCACAATGGCCAGAGCCGAGCTAATGTGAAAGAAGGAACCCAGAGTTTTTTCTGGATCTTCCATGTGGGTGCAGAAACTTAAGCATTTGCTCATCCTCTGCTACTTTCACAGGTCATAAGCAGGGAGCTGGATTGGAAATGGAGCAGCTGGCACATAGCTGGCTCTCCTAAGTAATGCCAATGCTAGCAGATGAAAGGTTAGCTCTCTGTGCTACCACACTGTCCCTATAGGATGATTTTTAAGATGAATTGTTAAATGAAAAAAAGTCAAGTAGAGAATAATACATAAAGTACATTACATGTTATCTAAGAAGGGAGGAAAATATGTATTTATTTATTATAAATTTGTTTTAGATGAAAGGACAATGCAAAGACTAGTAAACAGTTCCCTGAAGGGAAGAAAAAGACAGATGAAGGGATGCTAGTCAGCCCTTCTGGACATATTTTGGCTTGTACATTTTACTTTAGTACCAAGTAAATGCATCACAATGCAGGCTAAATGGTATGTGTGTGGAGTTGACAGCTACACTCAGACAGGGGTGATTAAAAGTAGACATCTGTGGTGAGCGCTCAGTGCCAGCAGCTGTGTGACACCTATATGCATGCATCCCGCATCCAATTGCGGGAGGCCTGACATCAGTGGCGGATTCCAGCCTCTCTCCTAGTGGCTCCTAGGACGAGAGATGTTATGAGACACAGGGGCTTGTAAGTCCCATGAGACCCGGCTTTGCGCCGCCTGATTTTGCCCTGGGCTCTGCCCTACCGGGTTACAGGCGGTTGAGAATGGTGTAAAGCAGGGGATGGAAGGGAACTCGTCTGGTCTTTTCTCTCTCTTTGTCTTGCAAATGGATGATGAAAATAAGGGGTAAGGATGGGTGTGTGTAACGGTAATTGGTATGGTGAGAGCCTCAGTGAGGATGTAGACCCGAGGGGCAAAAGGGATCACGAATGGATCTTCGATGGTTGTGGGGTGGGTATGTTGGGGGGGGTTGAGATGTGGTGGTATATCAGTTGGTCTTTTGAACGTAGTAATTGTATAGGGGTGGGGGGTATATGTGGGAGTGATGGGGAGGATCGGATGAAGCAAATAATGGTGGGTTAAGGGGTGTGTGAGGGTATGGTGTATATTGTGACCTGGTAAACAATTATTTGTTGGTGAGTGGAGTTGTTGTGGGGTAGGGGATACAGGGTTATTGAGTGGGTGGGGGAATGAGAAAGCATGTTGAAGGGGTTGGTTTGCTTTGATTGGCAGGGGAGGGGTACAAGCACCATTTTGATGTAATTCCACTGAAGGTGGTTTGGAAAAGGTATTTGTGCAATTTGGGTGGGAGGATAGGGGAGGATAAGTCTAGATTACATGGCTAGAGCCATCCATCAAAGGACACATTACCATATGGAGGTTGGTGGGGGAAGGGGGACTAAGGTTAGACTTAAAGAGCGTAAAGTGTGATATGGGCAAAGTGAACTGTGGTAGACTTGTTGGTAGTGGGGGTGACTGGTCTGGACAATAAGATGACATGTTAAAAATTTGTGGAAAAGGGGTGGGTCAGAAATCCCAACCTGTCTGTTGAGGGTGGCTGACCTTGGACCATCCTGCTGACACTCATTTAGAGTTCCTTCTACTAATTTCCTATGCAACACCCTGGCCATGGGCTTCTCACACTGAGCCTTCTTGGTCCCTCAAGTTGCATGTTCCTTACCAGGATGGGGTCCTGCTTACTCCAACTCTCAGATTCTTGCTCTCCAGTATAGACCCCGGAACCATAGTTGATGACTTTGCTCTTATTTGAAGCCACCCTCTAATTCCTTTTGACAGTCTTGGAAGGTCCACTGGGTTTTCACAGACCAGCTCCAGCTCACCTCTCCCAAGAAGTTGTCCCCATGCGAGGATGCTAGGTCCTCCTATGGGAAGTGTGCCTGTTCCAGGTCAATATATCGGCCCTAGATCACCTATATCCACCTATGGTCCTTGTCTCTCAGAGGCCTCTCAGCTTGTCCTCACTGTCTCATGTTCCTTGGGTGGTCAGGATCCTGGTTTATGATGAATGAAAGCAGACTTTGTGGCAAGGTTTATATTTGATGTGGCCCACAAAAATGGATATTACCCTTGAACTATAACCACACATTCTGGATCCTGGGGAGAGAGGGGACTCATCAGTCAGAATCTTCCAAAAGATGAGTCACAGGAGATGTGTCTCAGCCATTTATTCAGGAATGCAGCAGGGAAACTGAGGGGGTACTCAGCCCTTAGATGACCTACTTCTCCGTTCCCTAGTCCAAGATATTTTCTCTTGTGCTCATGGTCTGGAAATATTAACAGCAATTTGTGTAAGAACTTACCCTTGGTGATGGTATTTGGTGCACTGAGTTAAGGATCTGCTAAACATTAGCATTCCCTATGGAAAAGAGGCAGAAGATGCCCCACATACCTGGGCCTCTGGCAATCACCACAGAAATCAAGATGGAGTTCCAGGTTCCTGGCTTCTTGTTGGCAAAACCTAGACTGTTGCAGTCAATGGGGAAGGTGAACTGACCGGTGCAGGGTTGCCTCTCTGCTTCTCTTCTCTAGTGCTGCATTTCAAATAAACAAAAAGGTTTGACAGTTTGTAGAATGATTTCAGAGACATCATTTTGCTCACTAATCACAACTTCTTTAATAGGCATCCTTGCATTTCCACATCTGGTTATGGTATAGATGCTCTTATAAAAGTCTTTTAACCCAAAACATATGCAAAATCATCCTGAAATGATACATCAAGGAACAGTGCTGTCGTCCATCTGGCAAAGCTGTCACTTGCAGTGCAGGAACACAGTAAAACATTCACATAATAAG